TCTTCCTCATTGAACTACATTCCCAACATTTCATACATATCAAAGGCAGCAAGAAAAACTACATTATTTTTATATCAGATTATTGGGAAGATTGCTAATTTTTCAACACGTGAACTCCATATCGCTCTTTGGTAAGCTCATGAAACTGATTCGGGAGCTGAGAACATCCACTATCAACTGAAGCACTTACCAGAACCATGTTTAAAAATGTTGGTCTTCTAATGTTTGATGAAATCTGGACATCAGGTAAATAACCTTCTTCATGGCATGACGCCATAGCTGTTCCCATACCGAAATCTGGACGGAACCATACTTATCCTCAAGTTATAGATCAAGTTTATTTACCAACTGTGTTTCCAAAACCATGAAACTCATAATCAATAATCGATCAGTATGATACTTAGAGACCAGTAGTTTAATTGCAAATATATATTGCGGTTTCCCTAAAAACACGAATACCATTGATCATTTAGTTCGTCTCGATCATTTGTAAAAAAGCGATAATACAATTTCTTTTACGATTTCGAGAAAGCATATTATGGCACTATATGGAAATACGATATTCTAAAAGATTTACATGACTTTGGATTGAGAGGCCGCTTTCCTCAATTTATACCCAGCGTTTTATCAGACAGATAATTGTAGAACCGATCATTATGGCCAGTATCAGGGTAACCAACAAGGCAATATTTGGTCAGCAACATTGCTCGGATTCAAATATATAGCCTCTCTAAGGGTTTAAACGATTTCATTGATGGATCTCTATTCGTGGATTATTAAAAACATTTCCTGTTGTGGTAAGAATTTGAATACTATCGAGAAGGTAGCTGCAGTTATGCCTAAATAAAATACATAAGTGGTCATTAGAACATGGTTTTAGATTTTCAAAATCTAAAACTAATTGTACACAGTATTGTAGATTTACAAGGCTATGAAAGATCCTGAACTATTGTAGATGGCTATCCTTTTAAAGTTGTAAAGGAGGCCAAGTTGTTTGGTACCATTATTGATCACCATTTGACCTTCTTACAGCACATAAAAAAATATATATAACAAATGCCCGAAAGCCCTCGACTTGTTGAAAGTCATCTAAAACCTAAAGTGGGGAAGGGATTAGAAACTCCAATCGCACAGAGCGCTGATCCACTTCAAACTTGATTATGACTCCATCATCTGTTGTGGATCCTGGAAAAGTAATTTAACATCAGATAATATTCATCATGAAGGCCTGGGGCTTTGCTTCGAGCCTTCAGAACAACCCTTATCAATAGTTTGTATGTGGAGACTGATCACTAAAACAACATCGGATAAAACCTCCCTTACAATATTTCACAAAGCTGTATTCAAATTAAAGTAATTCTACATATGACGTTTTTATCGTCTGTACGAAGAAATGTCCCTTACAAAGTCATCCCTTATTCGACCACTTAGAATAAGAATCATACCTGCCATTTCTGCTGACAATATCAATCTTTAAAATATAGCTCCTACTCAGCTTTTGTCTTCTCACCCATGGCATCTGCTACAGCCAGAGAAATTAACTAAACTTAAGAAATCAGAAACAAACAAACCAATCTTCCAGCAAGAATAAAATGAGTTGCGGAACACATATAACACTTACAAATCTAAATTTACAGTCGAATCCAAGGACGATGATACAGTAGCTAGTGCCACTGGGCCTGGATCCAGAAACATATCTTCAAGATTAACAGACGATAATTCATTTTTTACAGCAGAATTAAAGTCAATCATAACAGCTCTCAAATGCATAAATACTCAATCTAAACATAAACAATTCATAATATTTTCAGATGCTCTTTCCTGTCCTCGGGCCAATTATAATGTTTCCTCTTTCATGTAAAATTATAGGATTAAATAACGATTTTGCTTCTGGCCAATACGACATCGTCTTTTGTTGGTAAACCAGCCATGTTTAAATCAGTGGTGACACAATGGCTGATACTGCAGCCAAAGTACCACTCAACAAATATGTGACACTCCTTCCGATCTCATACAATGATTGGATCTGATATCCGAGTTATCTAATGCAAAAATGTGGGACACCTATGTGTGACAACTATCTAACCACTAACTTGGGTTGTCAGTCCAGTTTAGAAGAGGTAATTTTACGAAGATGTCGTATTGGCTATAAAAGATACACAAAAGAATATTTGTTGAAACTCTGAATCTCTTGTGATGAATGAACACGGCCAAGCATGCCCTGATTGACTGTGTCGATTTTTCCATTACAAAGATTAACTTTTTCAAAGTTTCATCCATGCAGGATCATTTTAGCATACGTTCCCATTTAATTCTTGTCGTTTTTTAAATAAAGCGACAAAACCCTGTCTATATCCACTAGCAATATCTGCAGAAAGCGAGAAAGCAAAGACGATAGTACTTTTCCGACTATATAATAAGCATGTGTTTAGGAATCACTATCAAATAGTAATGATACCAGGTGTTCGCGAAAAGGTGAGCGAATCCTGCCCGATCGGTTGTACCCGTCACAAACACATGCAAAGGCAGGTCAATTGTACACCTAAAAAAAACACGGGAACATATGGTACAAGTCAAAATAAGGAATTGCATTGGAATTGCATGCGTCAAATTTGGAAATGTCCTCCACATGTCTAACACAAAACATTTTGAAAGCTTCACTCAGGCCTTGAATGTTGTAACCTTGATCAAACAACTTCTGAGCAAGAGTCGTATGACGCTCTTTGAAATATAAGTGAAAAGAGCGTGCACGAACGTATCTCATAAGTTATAAATAAATGTAAATGTAAACACCAAAGGCTGGGCTGCTGGAATATTTCTGGACATGAAGGGAACGTTATCTATTGGAAAGTTGAAGTCATACCTCTTGTCATACAGTCTTGTGGAGAGTTGTTTGTTAGATTCAAAGGACTGGAGCTGCAGGAATATTGCATATGGCGAACGTTGACTATTTGAAAGTTGAAGTGGAGTGTTGTGTCCCTCTGAACCTTTTGCATAGATCTAAATATGATACGGTTGAGTCTCTTTTTTTCCAGTCCAGGTGGGTAAATCAGTGGAAGTGAATTGGCCATTTGATTGTTATTGAACAATATCAGATCATCGATATACCTGAAGCTTAAGTTAAACTTCTTTGCCAAATTACCTTGATTTGACTTTGCCAATCCGAGCCAAAATTCCAATTCAGATGCAATAAGAAACAGGTCCGCTAGTAAGGATGCCTCCTTCTTGCCTAAAAATCTTACCCCCAAATCTTACGTAGATGTTATCAATGAGGACGTTCAGCATTTCACATATTGTTTTACCAGTAAACCTCAGGTGGCATTTGCTTCCATTTTTCAGAAATTGTCCTGAACCTCTGAATATAGATTCGCAACTGTAACTGTGGTCACCACGTTTTGTAACAAAACCTCCGTGGAATAAGGATCAAGGATCAAAGTAATTTAATCAATGGATAAATCTTGATGTACTTAGTGTTATTTTAAAAATTTGTAGTGTTTGTTCAGAAGAAAACGTAGATTGTTGGTTGCTGTACACTCGATGGGGGTTGAAGTAGGGTAGAATAATTGTCCCCTTGAGAGGATATGTAAGTTCAACGTCACTCAAAGTATTTTATGCATACCCGACTATTAAACGCAGTATATTTGTTATTTTAGATTTTTAGTGAAACTTGTAAACTACCGTGTTGATTTTCCATAACAAGGGATACATACTTCTATCAAGCAGCTGTTCACTGTAAGATTATGATGGCATGCAAATGAAGACCCAACGTTTTTATAACCAAACAAGTAAAGTTACACGTGCATGTCACGTTGGTATGTTTCGGCAACGGGCTCGCACGTGGTTGTGTCAGATAGTAACAGAGACTAGTTCCAATATAGTGCAATATACACCTAATGGTAACAGAGACAAGCTCCAGCTTAGTAGTAGTAGTAGTAGTAGTAGTAGTAGTAGTAGTAGAAGTAGAAGTAGTAGTAATAGTAGTAGTAGTAGTAGTAGTCAGAGTCATCAAGCTTGACCACCAGATCACGTTAGTCACCACTTACAACACGCGTCTTCAGTAGTGGTAGTGGTAGTTTTCACGAGGCGATAGCACCAAACAAAGTACCCAGTGCTGTGTCATGCTTGCATAGACAGGACTAGTACACTTTAATACGTGTGTTGAATTACTAGTATTCAATCTGCTGTGCATGGGATTGCATAATATACAGCGTACACTCTAAAACACATCGTGACATCTACAGTTTGAAAGACCTAGGATTCGAGAACTGGACAGCTGGAAACAATATATGTATATATATATATCACTATATATAAATCATAAGATATTGATTAAAATTAACTACAAATGCCAGAAAGTTGATTGCCAAAATAATGTTATGATATGATGCTTCTGTATGAAAAGAATACCATGTTAAATGTCTACTGTATAGTGTGGGTATGGTTAAATCTGGGACAACCAATGTTTCTTAGAGAATCATGCCATGTTCATATCGAAAATAAGGCAGACGCTTTTTGACATGAACATGGAGATCTACTGTAGATGTTTCTAGCAAATGCGAATATCATAGATATTTTAAAATACAAATATGCGCAGAAAATTATTAAGCTGATGTAAATATAAGAAAATGCAGAATATCATTATCACAATTTAGATGCAGCTCAAACAGGTTAATGGTTGAAGTTGGCAGGCACCAAAAAATACCAAAATGTTTAAGATGTCGACAATGTCAGAAATGGGCACAGTGTTTCTGGGTCCTTTTGGAATACGACACTCTTGTTTTGTCTTTCTCAAAAGACTTAGTGGTGACAATGTTGTTTGCGTGTCTGATGTTCTTTTGCGAGGAAGATTTAGAAAATGTGTATGTTTACGTGTTTTCTGTCCATGACCATATTCCCTGGAATTAAAGCTCCTGAGAAGACTGGGAACATAAATGTCAATTCTCATAAAGAAACATCCTACTTCAATTGATTCAATAAACTTTGGAAGATCAAACGTAAGCATGAAAGTGTTCGAGGGCGAACAGATTGGAAGCACGATAACTGGTAGTCCAGATCGTGTGCGTTGTATACCCCTTTGACAAGTGTAAATTGGCACTCAAACCCCAAAAGCACTGGAAGTTTTACTTTACTACGGAACTATAATCCCTAATATAACATATTATTAAATTCGACCAGTTTCTATGTACTTTTAGGGTATGAAGACAAGTCCTAAATCACGAATTTCATCCACCCCACGAGCATATCACAAACCGGCTCCCGCTACAACAAAGGGGAAAACACGCCACTAACTAATCCCTATAAGGTTAAATGTGAGGTTATATCAGGGTTGATGTTATATTTCAGTGGAGAACGTGGCCATGACTATTGCAGACCTCTTTCTGGCCGGCACAGAAACCACAGCCACTATAATTCGATGGACACTGGCCTACTTTCTCCACAACCCGGATGTACAAGAAAAGTGTTTTCGGGAGATCCAGGAAAATATCGGCCAGAGCAGACGACCCTCCATGAAGGACAAGACTAATCTGCCGTACGTGGAGGCCACCATTATGGAAGTGTTGAGACGTGCGGATATCGGGCCTCTCTCACTCCCCCACACCGTTCCCCACGATGTACAGTTCAGAGGGTACACGTTCCCAAAGGGGGTCAACGTTATGTTGATGCTTGACTCGGTCCTACAAGACCCGGATGTGTGGGATGGCTCACACAACTTCCGGCCCGGCCGTTTCCTTGACGAAACTGGCAAGATTGTAAAGAAAGAAGAGAGTTCATTCCCTTCTCTCTGGGTGAGTTTAATCGCGTGGACAAACTTAATATTGCTGAGTGCGGCGTTATACAAATAAACAAACAAACAAATATAGAGAAATTCAATTAGTCAAGACTCTATTTAATCAAACAGATATATATAATGTGCTCATACCAATGATTCTTCAATCCGAATAAATGTTCATCCAAACAAACTCATTCGGAGCTTTAGAACAACTGCTTTCAAGAAATAACATTTTCTTCATATCGTTTTCACCGTGCATCTACAGAGCGCCTTTACATGAACAGCTAGACGTCATGATGACAGCATGTGTTTGGCATCGCAATGAAGCAATATCAACGAATTGAGAAACACCCCCAACGTATATCTAATTCCCTGGCAAAGATGCCGACATAAGTAGGTCAGGTACGTTGGATTTGAAACTCAAATGTTTGAAACATTTCAGGTTCGACGAGTCTGCCTGGTGGAGTCGATGGCCCGGATGGAGTTGTTCCTCTTCCTGACCACTATGATCCAGAGGTTCAAGTTCGTCCCTGTGGTTGGCCAGATGCCCTATTTGGATGGAATCATCGGCTTAAGTCATTCTCCAAGGCCATTCCTCATGAAAGCCATTCCCAGAGTTTAATCAGTTTAAATGAGTAATGGAGTAGCTGTTTAGACTGCATTTAGCTACAATTCAGCATAGTTTTGCTATTTAGCTATTAGCTTGAGGGTAAAAAAACCCAAACAACAACTGTGTATTAGATAACCAGATACTAACTTTCTAACCACCATGATCCAGAGGTTCAAGTTCGTTCCGTTAGATGGCCAGATGCCCTCCTTGAATGGAATCATGGGTATAACCAATTCTCCAAAACCATTCCTCATGAAAGCTATTCACAGGGTTTAATTAGCTTATGAGTGAGGGAAAGGTGTTTCGAACGTATTTAGAACCAATTCAGCATTGTATTGACAGACAGAGAGACAGACATTTTATCCACTGCTCTTTCAGTTTTAGTTTAAGGGTATCACATTTAATGAGACACCGAAAAAGTGGTACATTGTATTGCAAAACAATTCAGGTTATGTTTAGGTTCTAGGTCAAGATAGGTCGTGATGATGGTTTTTTTTAAAAATATTACTATCAAATGGCTATTAAAACCGTTACAAACACATCACCATCGAATAACCATGTCTTGTTTGTTTCATGTTTAGCCACCATCAAAAGTGGGTGTGTACTCTTTTTTGCCAAACATTTTAATAGTCATTCTTGCAGATTGGAAACATGTTCCGGCTGACATTTAGTATAAGACTACATGCTGACTACATGTAGAAATATATAATCGACGGATGAGTGTCAAATACCATAATATGGAATGTCATAGATGATGAAGTAGTGACTCCAATGATATCGACGAAGCACTTCAGGTCTGGGAGAGATCAAGTCGACGACTAGGGAAGGTTTGTCAGTAAATAAAACTGAAAGCAGATTTGTCATAGCAAAAAAACAGTTGTATTATAATATGGTATGCTACCCCAGAGGTTAACTCCCTTGGTATTCCGTCACGTCGAAGACTTTGGCACAATTCTGGAAATGACATCTGGTGTTTTTCTAATAAACTGCTCCCTCCGCCTACTTACTTGTTTATGATTAACACCCCTGAGCATAATTTTCTGGTACTTGTTGCTCGTGGTCGACGAGTAATCACTGAGTAGGTGAATAGATACTGCTTATCGCAACATCAGCAATTTTGCAACTGTTTGCAGTGACAAATATCTTTACTGTTACCGTGTGTTAACGAACACAATATAAGTGAAGTTGAAAATCACTAAAATGTCAGTCAAATATCCCATTCAATTTAGTGATACATGTATATTGTAATGTCATTTTTATTCGTCTGAAATTAGGAAAGAGTTCATATACTGTCAATTAACGATGTCCTTAATGCTCCAAGACAACCGAAGTTCCTGAAGGTGAATGATGTCAAGTTCTCCGATTTACGATTTACGAGCTGAACCACCGTAATCAGGTTTAGACCTGATCAATGTTCTATGGATATGCAGATGTGTTTCTCTGTGTCTAGCCCACTTAGCATTTGATACAACCTAAAGAATATCAAGCACTTTCAAACATCTTGCTTTGAGATATTAAATAAGAGGTTTAAATGGAAACTTTTGATCAAAGGTAATACCAACAAACGTGGCTTCTCTGACCACTTTAACTAGAATATTATTCAAAGACATTTCTGGATATTTATGCCATTTCCGTTTGCTGCATAAATAAATAAAATAGGTTTTAGTTTTGTGAAACTTAAATGCATTTCTAGAGATCATTTATGTTTTGTATTCTCTCAATGATATTCATATTTGCACCTCGGCATGATATATTAAAATCAAACATCAAACAACAAACCATTGATATTTTCATTTAAAACTTTAGCACTGTTAATTCTTCAGCTAAAAAGTGTCACTGATAAAATACTGCCCTGATGGACTGATCATATATCTCAGGTAATGTGGATCTCACTCAAACTTTAGATTTTCTTTCTTCTAAAAATCATGTCATAATATCAGGCATATGGCCACGAAGACCCATATCATTGAGTTCCTTTAAGATGCCATATTTTCATTGGTTATTACATGTCTTCTCAAATGGATACAACATGTTGTTAATTGTTTAAACCATAGTGTACAAATGACTCTAATTTAACGAGATGACCAATGGTGCTATTCTGATGCCTGGATCCAGACTAAATCAGTCATCAGGTTCTTAGATTCCAAATACCAGACAAGACGCTTGTTAAGCATTCGTTCGATGGTTTTGCATATGCAGCTAATGGATGCAATCGAACGCTAATTAGAAGGATTCGTGTGAACCTTCCTAGGTTTTGGCACAGGAAATTAGCAGCATCATGCCAAAAAAGGAAGAATACCCGTTTCCCAAATATTATGAAAATGAATAAGACTGCAAAAAGAGATGATAATAATTGAAAGTGGATGATATATGTGGTCAAGTTACTGTACCATGAGCTTAATTTGTAGCTTCTTACAGTTCACACAAAGAAAAACATTCATTGTAATCTGATGAATCATCGGATTTAAATTCAGAATCTCCTGTCTTGCTGATTTATATACCTTTGAAATTTAGGATCATAATTGGAAGACGAAGGATGTTTAATAATTGTTTCTGCCAACTTATTATCGATGTCTTTTTTGGATGTTAGTTTATTAGTATCAGTTTTTAAGTGTTAGGCACTATCAGAGGACCCTTTACTTTTATTCTTCTAACCATATTCAGTACATTATTAAGTAGAGTGTGTAGTTTTTTTAAAAACAAAATGTCTCTAGCTGCTACATTTATTTGTTCTACAAGCCTTTGCTCGTGATTCCCTAAGGTGTTCTTTTAAGTTATCTGAGTTGGATGTTTATCGAAGCTCTTTCAGCCTTTTCCCTGTTTCTTCTTGCTTTTTTTGCAGTCATCGTGATACTGAGGTGTACTAACAAGTGGAGTTTTCACAGATGGCTTCAGTAACAATTGTTATTAAGGTATCACAAAACAATAAACTTTGGTCATGATCATTTATGAAATAACCAGCTTTCAATTTACTATTGCAAAAAGTACGAAAAGACAGACAATCGGCCACAAAGGGAGAGATTGCTAAGCACGGTAGGAAATTGATCACTGCCGCACAAATCACTAAGAACTGGTCAAGAAAATTCATCAAAGAATGATGGGTCGGAGATAGACAAATCTAACGCACAGTATGTACCTGTGTCTGGATGGGGGTATATATCATTAAGAAGGCATAGACTATGCTTATCAAGCACGAGGTTATAATCTTTGGCAAGAAATTTGATTACTTCAAGAATTATATCCAAGTCGTCGAAAATTGCATTACTTAGCGTATTCTTCATTCAGGGTGTGTTATTTGAGATCGTTCCCGACCTTTCTTCGTAGGAGCAGTTGCTCTGATGGAGTAACTTTTCCATGTGATCTAGAATACCAAAACCCGTCACAAATGGGCACAGAGTTTCTGTGTCCTTTTGGAATACGATCACTGTTGTTTTTCTAGGTTGAATCCCTTACGGAATTTGAACTCACACTCTCCTAATAACCAGTACACAAAGTCAGCGATCCAAAACCACTCAGTCGCCGAGGCTGGTAGTCCAGATTACGTACTTTGTGTACCCTATTGACTAGAGTATATTGCCACCCAACCTCAAAAATGTACTAGAATTTGTACTTCACTAAGGAAGTGAAATGCCAAACATAACATTTATATGGTTACAAATGACCACTTTGTAAACGCACTGTATATTTTTAGGGTACGATGACAAGCCAAAAATCACGCATTTCATCAATCCCTAGAGTTTATCAGACACACCGACCAGAGGGTCCTGGTACCACAAAGGAGCAAATCACCTTTTAGAGATTTGCGACATCTTAAGTAACTTATCACTACAGTGTTGAGACAAGCGGACATCGCCCCTGTCGCTCTCCCACACACAGTTCCCCACGATGTCCAGTTCTGAGGGTACTCTGGCAAGATTGTAACGAAAGAGTTCATTCCCTTCTCTCTTGGTGAGTTTTATCACGTGTACAAACACAGTATCAGAATCGCATTTGTGCATAAATAAATCAAATATTACTTTGTTTTCTATGTAGATTTTCCAATAAATAGAATAATGTAAACTGACGAGCTAAAGAAATCCAAAATAAATTTATAGGAATTTGGATTCCCGCACGAAATAATGTTTCATGATTACAAACAACGAAATGATATCTTCTTGTCTTTTTTGTCAAGTTTGTTTTGGACGCAAGCGTACTATAAATTATATATTGTTAAGAGCCGTGAAGATATGTGTTAGAACCCATCCTCGTCGTAAGAGGCGACCAAACGAGAACGAGTCAGGCTTGCTGACTTTGTTCATGCATGCCCATGAACCCAGAAACCCTATGATCAATCAGATTTATACAAATTCATTTGGCCATGGTCGTATAAATGATTCTTTAATCTGCTTACAAATAACAGCATTTTTTATTCATATTGTTTTCAGCGTGCATCTATAGAGTGCCTTCACATAAACTTAAATATACTTTAATTTAATTCAATATGCAGAAACACCCTCCCACAGCTTGACGTGCTTGGTCTCGCAATGAAGGAATATCAAAGATGCTGACACGAGTAGATCGTGTATTTTTTTAACAAGGACATGTAGGAGTTGAAACTCAAGGTTTTGAAATATTTCAGGTCAAAGTGTTTGTCTTGGCGAGTCGATGGCCCGGATGGAGTTGTTTCTTTTCCTGACCACCATATTCCAGAGGTTCAAGTTCATCCCCGTGGATGGTCAAATGCCTTCCATGGATGGAATCATGGGTATAACCCATTCTCTAAGACCATTCCTCATGAAAGCTATTCCCAGAGTTTAATCAGTTGATGGGAGTGAATTATTAGGTGTTTAGAACGTAATTAGCAACCCCTGGTTGAATCACACATAAAAAAATTGATACAGAGACTGAGTAAATGCCTGACAAATAAAACGGAACTGATGGCGTTGTCTTACATTGCCAGGGCAATTTATTGATTGAGATAATGTACTCATATTTCAAACCAATAAAGGAAGATGATTTCAACAACATTTTCGAATCAAATTTTGTTAATTGTGTTATTTTGTTGTTGTTTCACAGCTCAAAACCTTTTAAACCAAACTTGCACTGGTGAAAAGGGAGATAATTAAATGTACAAATGTCGAGTTGTTATCAAATTTAACTTACACTCAAGTACTTTGACTGGCATTTCAGCCCTAGTGCCTGAGTAGGTCTAACTGTAGTAAGCGCTTGGAGTGAAACAAGAGGCATTGTCAGTTATCAGGGCAAGCTGTTACAACTAGATTGACAGACATATCATAAACAATGAATTAGCAGACATACAAAATGGGTGTTGAGAGTTGGAACTGCGAGTCAGCGTAGATCTACTTCAACATTTTGGGCTGTTGGTAGTTTTACTACCGCAGTCAGGGATATTCAAACCATATCATGGTATCCTGTAAATTATTGAGTCAGGGCCAGACAAATCTTTGGTTGATATTTTGAGCAACGTCCCTCATCAGTAATGCTCCGCACTGTTGGGGCGCAATGACATTCATGGAATCAACAAGGTCACTAATCAATATACCTCAGCTCGTATGACAAGCAAGAGTGCTGGAGCCTATCTTAAACAAGGGCGCCACAGGAACCATGTGAAGATGCGGATGAGTAAAGGGACTGGGTGGTCAGGCTCGCTGACTTGGTTGATGCATGTCATCGTATCCCAATTGCGTGGATCAACAATGAGAGATTTAAATGTCAGGTTGGTACATATATTGGATATTAATATTGGTAATAATAATGCTTATATACTGATTTCCTGTCACTGGGGAAAGCACATTATGTATTCATATAGCCTGTTTAGATATAACAAAATGATTCAAACTTCTAGTAAGTGTACGTGACATGGACACATGAGCACTGATTTTACTTACAACAGCATATCATCCTTATTCCACAGCTAATTTACATACCTGTGCGGACTTTTGTCAATTCGTGACGACATAAAGCATAGGAAAGATCTATAATATACAACTCAGGCTCCAACTTAAACTTAACTGCCGAGTATAAATCATGCAGTGGGACTTCAGGTTGTTACGTGTATAGGTTATTACTAATCCAAGTATACTGATTGCTTTCACAGAGGAAAGTATATTGTATTTTATGATATTATTTATACAAATATCCCATTGAGACAGGTGGTGTTGCCTCACACTTATGGCTTTATGAACAAATAATTGGAACTTTTTACTAAAGCACTTCTTTTGTAAAGGCATACGATTTGTGTCAACTCGCGACGATATATAGCAAATGAGTGGGTGAGTATGGTATCACGCTGCAATATTCCGGCAATATCACGCTTTTAACCACTAGGCTAACCATCTGCCCCATATAACAGATGAAGGATGTATAATATACAATTCAGGTTCAAACTTTGATGCCGAGGATAAATCGTATCTACTACTAGATTGTAGACAACTTAACCACTCTTGATACAACAGATCTCTAACTCTTTGTTTAAAATCCATAAAAAATATTTGAACTCTGCTAACTTTCTGGAAGATCCAGGCAAAACCAAAACCAAAACCGAAACTAAACAACACATTCTTGACAGAAGTAGCCCAAGTAGGACGATTAGCATATCCAAGACATATACATGTATCTCTGTTGCTGGGCATATGTATAATCCTTGTAAAAACTTACACCTCAGCAAAGAATCATTTATTTTATAAAGGTATCTTTCAAAATCTTTCAAAATCATAGCATTGGGAGAAGTCTTACTTATATTTTAAAAAAACTTTTATAAACAATATAATGTACCCTCTCTGCCTTCTGTCTTTGGTATTCCCATACTTCTGAACAGAAGAACAAATTTACATTATTTTAGAATACAACATCTCAAAGAAAACACGGGAACTGGTCATAACAAAACATTGTCCTTAACACTTCAAATAATGCTTTCTTGGCCTTTATTGCATCGTATCTACAACTTTGAGAAATACTTAAATGACTCGTAAGTACTGCACCAAGATAATTATATTGGTTAACAACTTCTACTTTACTGTCACCATATGTCCACTTTTCAACTCTTTGCTAATCTCCCAATGCCCCTTGAATACAAATATGTATGATTTTGACATATCAACAGACTATGACCATGATTGGCAAGAATTGTGCAATACATTTAATCGTTTCTGTAGTCCATATAGACTTTCTAAAATTAGAACCACATCGTCGGCAAAGAGTAATGAAAATAGCTCCAATACATCTAGTGACAACTGAACACCGATGCACCCCTATCACATGAACCAACAACTTCTGTAGTGACATCATTAATAAATAGAGAAAACAGAATTGGACTTAAGAAACACCCTTGCCTTTATCCCACGGGACAATCTACATAATCCGTAAACCCTTCTCCTTGTCATGACTTAAACACTCAATATATCATCTTAAGACTCTGTATGCTGTGATATAACTGGAATACTGTTAAAAGCGGCTATAAACCCAACTCACTCTCTCACTCTGTAGCATCTTCCCATATGTTCCAACATTTTGAAGAAGATATCAGAGTTGTTCCTGTCCACCGACTCGAAAGTTTGTTTATAAATCAACAAAAGTAACGTTTAATTTACCCTTTTTCTTTGAAATATATTTTTAAACAACTACATACAGTGTGAATGAATTATCAGTAGTTGCACATTCAGCTCTTAACCCCGCCAGTGCTTCAGTAATCATTTCATTAATGCAAGCCCACTTCGTGATTTTCTTGTTCCAAATATCAATATAGATTTTGCTAAATGCCAACAAAAATGTAATACCGCTGTGATTGTATGGACAATCAATTTCCACAATTTTATGAAGCGGTACAATAATACCTGATGACCACTGACTTGAGAAAACACCAGTATCAAAAATAGTGGTAAACAGCTTTACCGTATAGCCAATAAAGTATTATCTACCACAGAAAAACATCCCAAGTTGTTGATATTGCTCCATTGCGGTACCAAACACATGCTACCTCCTAAACCCCTAAACGACCCTTGTTCAGGAAATATCCCACCTACTCGTGTCAGCATTTATTTGACATATACATACGTTGGGGATCTTCCGCAATTTGTTGATGCTGCTTAATTGCAAACCTCATCGGTTGCTATCTTGACGTCTGTCTGGTCGAGGTGGTATATGTATTTAATTTGATGCAAAGTCTACTTGAGTTGATACCAAGGCACCCCGTAGGTGTACATTGAGAAAGGTATGAGGATCTATCAAGCAAATGCTATTATTTGAAAGCTGTATCTCTAAAGTTCCAAATGGATTTGTTCAGATTTACAAAGTTTCGGATAAGTGAATCATTGGTATGTTGTGTACATTTGGGTTTATATAAATAAAAGCGATAAAACTCTTTCCATATTCAAAAGGAATCTCTGCCAAAAGCAGAGTCAACATGAGGATGTGTTTATGAATCACAACAAAGGGACTTAGCGCAAAACAATTTTCATTTGATCTCAATTCTCGTGAGATGGAGGGGTGTTATGTCAAGCTTGATGTTCTGTTTCAGTGGAGAACTTGACCATGTCAACGTCATATTGATGCTTGATTCGGTTCTTCACGACCCGGATGTGTGGGGTGACCCAGACAACTTCCGGCCTGACCGTTTCCTTGACGACACTTTCTTTACAATCTTGCCATAGACATCAAGGAAACGGCCGGGACGGACGTTGTCTGGATCATCCCACACATCCGGCACCTTTTGGGACCGTGTACCTTCTGAACTGGATATCAAGGGGAACGGTGTGTGGGAGCGGTATGAGCAATATCCGCTCGTCTCAACACTTCCATAAAAGTGGCTTCCACATAGGGCAGATTGGTCTTGTCCTTCATGGAGAGTCTGTTCTGGCCGATATTTTCCTGGATCTCCCGAAAACACTTTTCTTGTACATCCGGGCTGTGGAGAAAGTAGGCCATTGTCCATCGAATTATAGTGGCTGTGGTTACTGTGCCGGCCACGAAGAGGTCTGCAATAGTCATGGCCCAATTCCCCACTGTAACATAACATCAACCCTGATATAACACCCCTTCTATTTCATTTAAGACCCTATAGAGATTAGTTACTTAAGACGTCGCAAATCTCTATAGCGTGTTTTGCACCTTTGTGGTACGAGGATCTGATTGGGGTGTCTGATATACTCAAGGGATCTATGAAATGCATGATTTTGGGCTTGTCATCATTCCCTAAAAAGATACAGTGCGTTTTTGAAAGTGGTAATTTTCAGCCATATAAATGTTATATTTGGCATTACACTTTCTTAGTAAAGTACAAATTCTATTACTTTTAGGGATTGAGTACCAATTTACTCTTGTTATTGGGGTACACAAAGTACGTGATATGGAATACCAGTTGTTGCACTTACATTTTTGTAGAAGCCTTAATGGTTGAGTGGCTCAGATGGCTGTCTTTGTGTACTGGTGATTAGGTCCTTCTGAGAGTGTGAGTTCGAATTCCGTAAGGGGCTCAAACTCACAAAGTACTAGAATTTGTACTTTGATAAGAAAGTGTAATCCCAAATATAACATTAGTTACTCACACCCTAAGCTGGCACACAATAATATTACTGAACCTATTTTCATACTCAAGCTATCAACGTTAACACATGAACTACATATCCGCTCGTGCTAAGTGTTACTCGTCCCATGAACATAACAAAAGCAAAATGGAATTACTAAATTGACTGTAGAGTGTCACAAGTACATCAAATAAAGGTTCATTCAGTTTATGTTTACAGTCTAAAGTCGTGTCCTCTTGCTTTTCTTTACGAAGTCGCATTTCCTTGATGTAGGCGTGGATAAAGTCGTCTACGTTATCATCGTCGTGGTTCTGCAAGTGCTGCTTTATCAATGGGTCTATCAGAAGTGAAGCGATGGTATCCATATTCCGCATAGTCTTCTTAATGAATAGATCCCTTGGCAGAAAGCGCACAATAGGCAGCACGTTCGACATATGTGGGCAAAATTTCGTCCATAGCTTTCCAAAATGTAATATAAAGTGGGTCGGTGTATTCAAATCGCTTGCCCAACATAGTTGAGCAGACGACATTGGATACTGCGTTATACACCAGACGTTTGCAGTAAAACCCTTGTCCCCGTTTTGTCTCCGAGACCTCGAGAAACTGCGAGAATTCCTCATGTATTTTGTTCTCCATGATGTTCTCTGAGAGTGTTGAGGGCGAAGCGTCTTTGATCGCGCCAGAGCTCCCCAGAGCTTCCAATCAGACATGCACCAAGAACATGAAGAAGACCTGTTACCACACCAGTATCCATTGAAAAACACAATAGAAAAACACAACCACAAAGGTTGGCATATACAGGTGGAGATGGTATGGGGGTCAAAACACATGTTGAGATGTAATAATTAAAAAAACCATCATGCAATAAATATATTTATCATATAATGGGTGGGTTTCTCTGCAAGATAAAGCCAACGAATAAAAACGATATCCGTTGGGGTCATATGCGGATAGAGATGCAAATATCAAAGGTCAAGTAGGGACTACTTTCACTGTTTACAAACAATCATTGCGTCGCCCTTGTCATTCGGCGATCGAGTCAGAATTAACCATCAGGAATCTTGAGAAACAACTGGGATAATTGATATCATTATCAAGAGAACAGTCTAATATACTGAAAATCAGTGTCTAACTGTGACGTAGCTAAGGCATTTTAGAAGTTGGGGCAGCTTTGGAGATATACATTGCGAAACAATTTTGCGAGGGCACTAGTCCAAGCCAAGCGGGATCAGAAGCCTTATTTGTGCTTTTAGACCTCTGCGCCTTGGAACCTTTTCCACAAATTAAAATAGTTGGATTTTCCCGAAATATGTTTGAATTGTTATCTTGTTTCGTTTTGTCGCTGTAGAGTAGGGTTAGAGAAGCTTCCCTTTGACAAAGGGCAGTTACTCTAGCGGACAGACCGATGGATTCCCGCGAAAGGCAAGTAAAAACAATTCATGTAGGCAATTGTTGTTTTGCGTATATGTTCTTTCGCCACTATGTACGGAACATATTTCAGTTGGAACTATATTGGCTACTGTCACTGTCCGACTGACACATCACTTACCCTGTGACGTAATATATATTAATGCGCACATTCCAGGAAAACTTGCAATGTTTCGGTAATATTTGTGAGAGAAGGAAAGCGATTTTCAAGCACGGATTTGAAGAATGACATTATATGATAAAGAGGTTATCACGCTTGTGTGTTTGGGGATGGTACATATCGTGTATTAGGAATAAACATTGTATTTAGCGAGCCTTGCGTGATAACCTCTATATAATCAGCAGGTTTCACTTCTGTAGTAAGGCTTTCACATCATGGAATCAACATGTTCCCACTATGCTGTAACAAATTATGGCACCCAACTTTCCCTTTTAAAATGAAATTAGCTAACAGTGAGTATGGTCTGTCTGAAAAGTCGTCGGCGTTCTTGACAATGGCGTCTCTCAGAGTGTTGTAGCCGTTGAGGACGATGACTGGTGTGTTCAACATGTACACACTGAAGATATCACTGTATGCGGGGATCGGAGCCCATGGAGAGGGCATTTCCCACAAACGGGAGAAGAGGGGGCCGGGAGGGAGGCCGGAGGGACGCCGTGTTAGCAGCCATCTAGCAGTTATCTTGACTTAAAACCTAAAAATAACCTGAATTGTTTTGCAATACAATGTACCACTTTTTCTGTGTCTCATTAAACATATATACCCTTAAGCTAAAACTGAAAGAGCAATGGATAAAATGTCTGTCTGTCTGTCTGTCTGCCTGTCTGTCTGTCTGTCTGTCTGTCAATACAATGCTGAATTGGTTCTAAAGTCGTTCGAAACATCGAACCTCCGAATGGTGGTCAGGAAGAGGAACATCTCCAGTATTAAGTAAACTGTTCGAAGGACTTCTGTTCGAAAGACTTCTGCTGAATAGAATTGAAGAGTGGGCAAACAAATCTAAAGGCTTCCCCCATCCCTTTCAATTTGGATTTAGGAGAGGGGCTGGGGCAGAATCTGCCCTGTTTACATTAATGGAAAGCATAGCTTATTATAACGAAAGACAGTCTCCAGTCTGGCTTAATGGTCTTTCTTTTCAAATTGTATAACTTTGGTATTAATGGAAATTTATGGCGACTTTTACGCACAATATATACTTCAATGCAGTCATGTGTAAGCATTGGAGGTTTTACCTCAAATGTGTTTCATGTTAAGCAAGGTGTTGGTCAAGGTCGCGTTTTATCGGCATGGCTTTTTACTCTGTATATTAATGACTTGTTGTATTCACTTGATGATTCAGGGCGTGGTTTGTGTCTTCCATGGGGTAATACACTCGGCATTCTATTAGCAGACGATACTACGTTGTTGAGCAGCTCCCCTGACGGACTGCAATGCCTACTGAATGATATATACACCTATGCTAATAGATGGCATTTGAAATATAATGCCAGTAAAAGTGCATTTCTACTGTTTGGGAATATTCTGTCTGTCAATGTGTCTACATTGGTTCACAAGTACTTCCTAAAAAGGAAAATGTAACTTATGCTGGATTGCTTTTAAGTACATCAAAGAAAACCTTAAAACGTACCCATCTAATATGTGAAAAATGTGTCAATTTATGTCAATATAAATTATAATCATGGACTATACTTGTGGTCTAAATCCTATCCCAGCTGTTCGTATATGGGAAAGGGTAATTTTACCATGTGGATTATTTGCTTGTAGTGTATTGGGTAAACTGTCACCGAAGGAATACGAAATGTTTGAAATTATTCAACGTTATTTTTGTAAAAAGATTTAAGGACCATCTAGACGCACTCCTTCCGTCGTCACCAGAGATTGTCTGGGTTTAATTTCTCTCCAGACGTACATTGATCAACGAGCTCTCTTATTCCTTGGAAGACTATGTAATAGTGACATTAACTTTGCACTTAAAAGACTATTGCAGCACAGACTTGTTCAGTATGAACTCGATACAATTAAAGAAAAAGATGATAAATGTAAAATGTCACCCGTATACCACATGCTTTCACTTGTAAACAGGTATGAACTCAATAATGATATAAACACATATACCACCTATTCTCATTTCCTCCCAAAACATACATGGGCGAGTGGAGATAAAGAACAAATAAGCGTATGTGACCATAACGTAATTCATGCAGAGATTCGTTCAAGAGAAAACCTAAAACGATACGATCACTATCAATTTATGAACTTTGCAAAACGTACGTAATAGCTATTGGCGATTTCATCTGGGGATTATATATTATAGCTGTGAATTACATATATTGTTACATGTAAAGATTGTGGAGTTTATGAAGAACGATAAACTTTGAACATTCAATTGAAAACTTGTTATCGGAAGTAGTAACATGCATAACATTTTTTTAATAATGACAACATTGGTATATAATAATAACTTTATTGATAATTTATAACGATCTGAAAAATACTATCATGAAAGTGTATCCCGTGGATAAGCCGACCCCTTTCTACAGAATCTTTTTTCTGGTCCTCAAAATTCGGCTTATACGCGGTCATATACGGTACTCTCTTATACGATCACCTAAGGTACACAGACTTTGGTTACTAACAATTGAAAGTCCGGAACACTTCTATGCTTTAGCATATCTATTGTGTCTTAGCACCTACAGTATACAATCTGATGAATGTTTATGCGGCACATTTGCTTTTGATATTATCAAACATGTGTTTATGTATTGTAAAAAGACTCAACAACAAAGAAATATTCTTGTTGAGTCTATTATTGATTTACTAGATGTGACAACTTTTTCTAGTATCTGGAACGATGATGACGATACCTTTCTGTCCTTTTTACTTGGCGGTTTGCCAACAGAAAGTACTATGGTGAGGTGAGGTGAAATTGAGTTTAACGTCGCGTCCAAGATTATTGCACTTATATAGCGACGTGCATGCACGTGTATGTATGTGTGTGGCTGCTTGTACTAGTCCGGAATGATGCCGATTTATAGTGCTAGCTCACTGAGATACCATGCCGCAGTTTAACATGAATACCCCACTCAGACACAGTATACTGACTCTGAGCCGACCAGTCCTTGTTTTAGCCCCTTAATGCCGAGCGCCAGACAGGGTAACAACAAGTACAATCTTTTAACGTCTTTTTGTATGACGCGGCCCGGGATCGAACCCTGGACCTTCCGCTCTCCGGGCGGACGCTCTACCACAAGACCACGGAGGCGGTCGAAAGTACTATGGCAATTGAATACAATCTATTGACAAATATAATGCTCCGTGTATGTAAAATTGTTAAAATGTGGAAAAACCTACCAAGAAACATTATTTGATAACGATGTGAAACTGCCTGTACATACAATATATCAGCTGTTATATATATATACATTTGTAGAACACCGTAATATCCCATATCAATGTATCTTCATCAACTGGAGGAAATAAAGATGATCTATCTATTTATCTATCTATCTATCCTTTCCCTCACTCATAAGCTAATTAAATCCTGTGAATAGCTTTCATGAGGAATGGTTTTGGAGAATTGGTTATGCCAAAGATTCCATCCAAGGAGGGCATCTGGCCATCTACCGGGACGAACTTGAACCTCTGGATCATGGTGGTCAGGAAGAGGAACATCTCCATCCGGGCCATCGACTCACCCAGACAGACTCGTCGACCTGAAATGTTTCAAACATTTGAGTTTCAAGTTCAACGTACCTGACCTACGTGTGTTTGCATCTTTGCCATGGAAAACGATATACGTTTGGGATGTTTCTCAATTCGTTGAATTTGCTTCATTGCGATGCCAAACACTTGCTATCATCATGACGTCTAGCTGTTCATGTAAAGGCGCTCTGTAGATGCACGGTGAAAACGATATGAAGAAAATGTTATTTCTTGAAAGCGGTTGTTCTAAAGCTCCGAATGAGTTTCTTTGGATGAACATTTATTCGGATTGAAGAATCATTGGTATGATCACATTATATACATCCGTTTGATCAAATAGGGTCTTGACTAATTGAATTTCTCTATATTTGTTTGTTTGTTTAACGCCGCACTCAGCAATATTGAGTTTGTCCACGCGATTAAACTCACCCAGAGAGAAGGGAATGAACTCTTCTTTCTTTACAATCTTGCCAGTGTCGTCAAGGAAACGGCCGGGACGGAAGATGTCTGGGTCGCCCCACACATCCGGGTCTTGTAGGACCGAGTCAAGCATCAATATGACGTTGGCACCTTTTGGGAACGTGTACCCTCTGAACTGTACATCGTGGGGAACGGTGTGGGGGAGTGAGAGAGGCCCGATATCCGCACGTCTCAACACTTCCATAATGGTGGCCTCCACGTACGGCAGATTAGTCTTGTCCTTCATGGAGGGTCGTCTGCTCTGGCCGATATTTTCCTGGATCTCCCGAAAACACTTTTCTTGTACATCCGGGTTGTGGAGAAAGTAGGCCAGTGTCCATCGAATTGTAGTGGCTGTGGTTTCTGTGCCGGCCAGGAAGAGGTCTGCAATAGTCATGGCCAAGTTCTCCACTGAAACAAAACATCAACCCTGATATAACCCCTTCTATCTCACATAAAACCCTTTAGGGATTAGTTAGTTAAGATCTCTGTGGAGTGTTTTCCCCTTTGTTGTACCAGGAGCCGGTGTGTGATATGCTCGTGGGAAGGATAAAATTCGTGAATTAGGACCTGTCCTCATACCCACAAAGTACATAGAAAGTGGTCAAATTTAATAATAAATTTAATTTTTATTGAGGGATTAAGGTTCCGTAATAAAGTAAAAAATCCAGTACATTTGGGGTCGAAGGCCAATTTACACTTGTCAAAGGGGTATACAAAGTACGTGATCTGGACTACCAGTTATCGTGCTTCCATTTTGGGGGAAGCCTCGGTGACTGAGTGGCTCAGATAGTTGACTTTGTGTACTGGCGATAAGGTGCTTCTGAGAGTGTGAGGTCAAATCCTGGATGGGACTCAACCTCAAAAAGTACTAGAATGTGTACTTTTCTAAGAAAGGGTAATCCCATATATAACATTAGTTACTTATATTATAAGCCGAACTTACTTTCACACTCACTAACTCAAGCTATCCATGTAAACACACGAACAACACATGTTCGAAATGTTTCATGTCCCGTAGTCATAACAAAAGCAAAAGGAAAATACTAAATCGAGTGTAGAGTGTTACATGTACAACAAATATAGGTTCATTCAGTTTATGCTTACAGTCTAAGGTCGTGTCCTCTTGCTTGTCTTTGCGAAGTCGCATTTCCTTGATGTAGGCGTGGATAAAGTCGTCTACATTATCATCGTCGTGGTTCTGTAAGTGCTCCTTTATCATAGGGTCTATCAGAAGTGTAGTAATGGTATCCATATTCCGCATAGTCTTCTTAAATTTGAATAGATCCCCTGGCAGAAAGCGCACAATAGGCAGCACGTTCGACACAGCAGCCGCACCTAAATCGGCAAAAATATCGTCAATTGCTTTCAAAAATGTAACATAAAGTGGGTCGGTGTATTCAAATCGCTTGCCGAACATAGTGGAGCAGACGACATTGGATACTGCGTTATTCACCAGACGTTTGCAGTCAAAGCCTTGTCCCCTTTCTGCCTCGAAGGCCTCGAGAAATTGTGAGACTTCCTCATGTATTTTGTTCTCCATGATGTTCCTGCCTGCTCCGAACTCTCTGAGAGTGTTGAGGGCGAAGCGTCTTTGTTCGCGCCAGAGCTCCCCAGAGGTACCAGACACACCTGTACAATGAAGATGAGAAAGACTTGTTGGTAAACCAGTATCAAAAGAAACAACACAATAGAAAAACACAACCGCCATACTCAGGAACAGACCCTGTGATGTGGTGCAGTGATCTAGGGATCTAATGTGGGGCAACACAGGTACAGATGTCATGTTGGGAAACTATGGTGAAGTTGACATGAATGGACAACACAAGTGGAGATATGATATGAGGAAACACAGACAGATATGTCATGTGGGGACAAAAAGGTCAGAATAAATGTTGGGCAACACAGGTGAAGATGTGATGTGGGGCAACACAGGGGAAGATATGATGTGGGGCAACACAGGGGGAGACATGATGTGGGTCAAAACAGGTGGGGCTGTGATTTGAAGTTGTTATGTGGATAAAAACACATGTTGAGATGTAGTAATTAAAGCACATAATGCAATAAACATTTGTAATCAGCAGGTTTCAATTCTGTAGCGAGGCTTTCACGTCATGGAAAGCAGCATGTTCCTACTGTGCTGTACAAGTAATGCCACCTACCTTTCCCTTTTAACATGAAGTCAGTTAACACTGAGTATGGCCTGTCAGAAAAGACTTCGGCGTTCTTGACAATGGCGTCTCTCAGAGTGTTGTAGCCGTTGAGGACGATGACTGGTGTGTTCAACATGTACACACTAAAGATATCACCGTATTGTTGCCTGAGTTTCTTAAACGTGATGCGGAGGTCGGAGCCCATGGAGAGGGCATTCCCCACAAACGGGAGGAGAAGGGGCCCGGGAGGGAGCCCGGATGGACGCCGCGTTAGCAGCCATAACACAGCTAGCACAGCTACACACAATAACACAGTTGTAGGACTGAAGGCGAATAGATCAGGCATTGTTTGCTACTGTCCAGTTCTCGTTTCATACGTACTCCAGACTGTTCAATGTCACGATGTGCTTTAGAATGCACACTGTTTTCACTGCCCTATGTGACCTACATTTAGTATTACGCAATAGAATGAATCAGCGAAAGTTCTTATCAGAGTGTCCTAGTTTTGCCTAAGCAAACATGATATAGCAGGTTTACTCACTGCAGAAATTGGAGTGATGTAAATCCCATATATATACGAAAACGACTCCAGTGTATTAACGGAATGATGAAATAAAATGGAATTAAACGTTGTGATTTTCTGACAAGAAAGAAAACAAATATACACAACAAAAGTTTCTGTGACACCAATATTTTATAGTGGGTTTTTTCAAACAAGTAAAGTTGGGTTTTCCATATTGTATTACATGTATGGAATCAAGTCACAAAAACGCAACTGGTATAGAAAAGCATGCATTCCATGCAAAAGTTGACTTTTATGCAAGGCCCATGCATTTCAAAAATACCCAAGAATGGGTATAAAAACATGTGCGTTAACGGGATTCTTTATGCATTTCTTAGCATCGTGCTGACAACAACCACTCAGAAAAACAACAAAATTACGCAAATATTCAACATTACGAAATGCCACGCCTGTCCGAAAATGAGCGTCTGCGAGCCATTGATATGCTTGAAGCAGGATCGAGTCAACGTGATGTTGCAAGACAATTTAACGTCCACAGAAACACCAACAGACGAATGCAGTCAGAGACCATACTCGGAGTGGCAGGCCACGCGTAACCAATAATCGACAAGACAACTGGATTCGAACAACACGCCTACGAAATCGATTCCAGCCAGCAACAGTGACTGCAAGAAGTTTCCCTGGCCTTCGACGAATATCTTTACAAACCGTACGTCGTCGCCTCAGGTGTGCAGGGATTGTCGCCAGAAACCCGCCAGACGTCCCATTTTGACAGGAAACCACCGTCAGGCACGTCTTCAGTGATGTTGACAGCGTCTACGCTGGACGGCCATGCAGTGGTGACCAGTTCTATTCACTGACGAGTCTCGTTTTCACCTCAGCCACAGCGATGGACGGATTCGAATGTACCAACGTCGAGGCGAATGTTACGTCAATCATTGTGTCATGGAAGAAGATCGGTTCGGGGGCGGCAGCGTTATGGTATGGGATGGGATTACAGCAAGACAGAGGACCCGTTTGATAGTGGTAGCGGGAATTCTCAATGGACAGCGCTACCGCAACGAGATCATCGGTCCTACTGTTCTACCGTTTTTGCGTCGTCATGGCCCAGGCATTACCTTTCAACATGACAACGCCCGGCCTCATGTTGCTCGACTTGTTCAGGATTCTCTTCAACAAAACAACGTGAATGTCATCCCCTGGCCGGCTCGCTCCCCTGATCTCTCACCAATCGAGCACGTGTGGGATGAGATAGATCGGCGCCTTCGACGTCAACCACGTGTTCCACAGACACTCAAGGAACTTCGAAACATGCTCCAGCAGATATGGACAGATATCCCACAGGACTTTGTGCGACGCCTTGTCCATTCCATGATACGAAGATGTGTTGCTTGCATCGCAACCAGAGGTGGACACACACGCTATTGATTATTTTGTAAATTGACATTTTTGCATGTTCATGTTTTTTTATGAAATCACACATTTTCTGAAGTCAGTATGGCAAATTAAATCATTGGAACACTTACAGGAGTCTTTTATCTGTTGCAAACGGAAATTGTTTCAAATTTGGTAAAAAACATAACTTTGCATTAAATCTTATTCAATGTCACGGGAAGCTTTGTTGTTCAGTATATCATGAGAACGATTACCTGAAAAGAATTCAGACTACCACTGTCCTCACAGTTAACAATCTCTAGGATTTTCGTGGGCACCCTGGACAGAGTGTGTCCCCAGCACCCCATTTCTGGTCGTTAGAGGTGACCAAAAGTGAGCAATCAGTTTGCCGTGGGTTGCGTCAATGTGTCGGTTGAGGAAGGGAGTTCCGTGGTTGAGTGCACTGGTTCCAGGAATAGTGTTCCTGTGGCTATAAGGGGCGGTCGGGTAGCCTAGTGGTTAAAGCGTTAGCTCGTCACGCCGAAGACCCGGGTTCGATTCCCGACATGGGTACAATGTGTGAAGCCCATTTCTGGTGTCCCAAGCCGTGATATTGCTGGAATATTGCTAAAAGCGGCCTAAAACCATACTCACTCACTCACTCCTGTGGCTATACGCTTCTTCGACCCTTACTCTACCATGACGGGTGGTAGGATGGACCCGATCCTACCAAAAGGCTGGGCATGCCGAGCCCTGTGCGTTATCTTCTTTAGCACAGGTTTGACCTAATTTCTTTTACATGTTTCAAATGTTACTTATGTTTAAATTTTTTCAAACCAAATATGTGTGTTTGTATGTTGAAATATCTGCACTATTTGCCTAGAGTCTTAAAGCCCAGAAGGCAGTGGCTTATGGGCCAATCTGGTGGTATATAATTTTTAATATTTCTGCTGGGGAATACTCTTTTGGTATCCCTATGCTGTCTGTTTGAAGCATTTGATGCCCACAGGCATTTGGCATCATCCTAGTTGACACTCCATGGTTGGTGGGGAGCCAGTAGGGTGAAACACAAACTGACGATGGCTGCTCCAACGAAACCAAAACAAAATCGCTATAATACAGTTAATACTGTTGATGAGGAAGACATAATAACCTGACTGTGTTATTCTGAACGTGAAATCAGGCCCAGATTTTGCGAAACAAACTTAATTTTTATTCAAATTTCAAACTGAGTTTGCAAAAAATACTCAGCTGATTTTTTAACTCAACTGCATTGATCGAATCAAACTCAGCAAAACTCAGCTGAGTTTTTAACTCAGGACTTAAGTTCGTTCTCAGTTTGTTTTTTTATATGATGTAAGCAGCCTTGGCGCGAGATTTGACATCCGTTTTCAATGTAAACACTTTGCCGTCTGCGCAAGAGTGTCAACGTAACGGAACGAGACGCGACGGTTAAATGTCGATGGTGGCAAGAGGAGGCCGAATTAGACCGAGGAGGAGAGGGAGCTACTTGTTGAAGAAGTACATATGCGACACGATTGCTGTGTTGGAAAATTCAAGGGGTGCAAAGAATAAGCAGCAGGCATCGAGAGCAGATTACCGAGGTCCTAAATGCATAAGTTAATGACAACGAGAACCAAACCATATTAACACTGCCAAAACCTCACCCAATTTCTAAATTCTGGACCTGCCTTTCTTGATGATGTTGTTGAAAACGAATGATGTAATGTTACAGTGGTCTATTTTAGTACATATCAGTGAGAATTTCAAAATAAAATTCAAAATATTTGATAAATCTGTGAATGACATTTTGTTGAGCATGACAATGAAAATTGTTTACTGAAATGAAGCAAATTGTCTTCCAGAAAATCCAGTTATGTGCGAAGATCTGAAGATGAGGGCAGGAAGCAATATGCTACTTGTAACTGAGATGTATGTTTACATATCAAATGACACTGTTTGTTTATTGTATTTTGTATGAAACTTGCTGATAATTATTATTGTTTGGACAATTTCATAAATGTTTGCATAATTTGCCTTGATATATGTCCCCATCTTCCCTTGAATTATTCACTCATAACTCACTATAAGGGTTTATTGAAAATGACTGCGTTAGGCAACAGTTATCATAATTTATGCTTTTAGTGTGAAACTTGCCTCCGGAAACACACACATACGTTAATAATTCATCTAAAATATGTTACAATACCCTCTATTGTTTAGAAGAAACAGCGACATTTTTCCTGATTTTGAGTGCTCCTTATTGAATGTTCAGAGAAATATTGTTTCTTGATATCTGTGACTATCTGAGTTAAAAGTGCCTACACAATGCATACAGTAGTTTTTTTTCGTCCAGCAAAAGAAATGTCAGAAGCAAAAAGGAGGCCTAAGAGAGGAGGGGGGCCAAAGCCTGCCTCGCCATCCCAGTCTAATGTTGTGATCCTGGAATCACTGTCCGAAAGGCCAACCCTCCAAAGTCAGCCTGTTGAATTGAAACTGAAGGTAGATACGTTGCTTACAGTTGGCTGAACATGCTAAATATATATCTTTGTAAAGTGTTACGCTTTATATAATGTTATCATATGATCATCATGTTAAAATAGTAGCTTATTACCTTGTCCTAACATTTTGACAATACAATTATGACATATGTAAAAAAATGCTGTATTTTTGCATGAGCACTGATACAATGCCGAAGTAAACTGATAATGAACATATTGTATTTTAAGTGATCGAACAGTTTATTGAAAATGGAGACATTATGTTTTTATATAATTAACTCAAGTTTACATAACACATTTATCAACAACACGATATTTCATGGGGTGGCGTCTCCTGCAGTCAACAGGTGACAGGTTTATTCAAGGCTAATATGTACAGCAGTGCCAGTGCAGTCAAACAGGTAGAAACCATCGGAGGTAGGATTGGGTACCTAGCAGGAAAATATGCCTGCACGCGATAGCACACGTGTTTTGCATATGTGGTGAAGCTGTGTTACTTATTGTTCTGTATATGGGGATTCAGCTGCAGCGTCACTCCTAGGTCAACAGAAAGTGCCTTTTGTGACAATAGTAAGACATTATAATCTGATGTCAATAGTTTCCAACAAGATGTTTTTGTATGTATTTGCAGAAATGCATCTGCCCCTTCACCACAAATATTTTTCCATCCCATGTTTAACTTACAACCAGCTCAATATACATCAACAAGACTTAAAATTAATCTATGCTGCTATGACCTGTTGGTGACCATGGACAGCCTTAGATACTATCAATACAAGATCCATATGCAATGAGCACAGGCAAATCATTTATAACATTCTCAATGTATATATTGAGACCCGTGAAGATCCGGGGTAGACTAGGTCTTCAGCAACCCATGCTTGCCGTAAAAGGCGACTATGCTTGTCGTAAGAGGCGACTAACGGGATCGGGTGGTCAGGCTCGCTGACTTGGTTCATGCATGGCATCGATCCCAATTGCGTGGATCGATGCTCATGATATTAATCACTGGATTGTCTGGTCCAGACTCGATAATTACAGACATATATAGCTGGAATACTGCTGA